TCCCGAAGACCCGCATTTCGCGTTGGGGGGCACGGGCTTCATGTGTTGTTCTATGTTCTCCGATCGCCCCCCTCCATCGGGGCCTTCGGGTTGGGTTGGAGCGGCTTGGTGGGCGGCGCGCGCCGGTTGGTGCGCCCTCGGTTGGTCGGCGCCCTCTGGGAGATGGGGGGCCAGTGGCGGGTTCGCGGCCGAGACCAGTCGGCCGCGCCGCCGCGCGCTCTCCCGCGCCAGGGTCCGAAAGCCAAGGGCTGGGCGAGGGCGACGCCATCCCCCAGGGGCCCGATGCAGGAGCGAAGCGCGGGGGGCGCAATGGCGATCTTGATCTTGAGCCAGCGGTCACTGCGCTGGGCTGCCCTTCTCGCCTGCTTGGACAGCAGCAGCAAGCCCCGCGGGGCGCCCGCTTCCGCGCTCGGCAGCGCGCGCGGAATCCCGTCGCGGCTTCTCCCGTCGGCGCCGTGGGGCGCGCGATGCTGGAGCAGCCAGAGAGATGGCCCTCCAGTCAACGAAGGTCTGCACGGTCCACGATATCGATGCGCAGGAAGATGCGTCGCGGGATGGGGGGGGTCGGTCGCGTTGGAAAAGGGGCGAAAAAGGACAGCGACGCGGACGGCGGCATGGTCGGATCTCTCGGATCGTAGGGCCCCTCGGAAGAGAAGATAATCTGCGCGTCGAAAGCGAACTGACAGGCGATCCAACCAAAAGGTAGAAGCCCAGCAGCGATTATTCGTAGAGAGCGAGCGCGCGCGCTTCCTTGCAGAAGTGCGCGGGTTCGTCGCGCGAGACCACCGGCGCGTCGCGCGGCGCGGAATTCCAAAATACGCGCTGGGGCCGACCAGCGCCGCGATCGTCGCGCCGCTGTCGCCGCGCAGGTTGAGCCAGAAAAGCTCGCGTGGAGCTGGCGAAATTCACGTCGCCGACCAGCGCGAGCAACTGATGCTTCGGGCCCGCGCGAGTCCATGTCGAATCCGTCTTCAGCTGCCCCGCCACCCTGGGCAATTGGAGACGCGGGGGCTCGCGTCTGCGCGCGCTGTAATGTTGTTGCCGAACAGAAGGGGCGTCAACCGTCAGGAGAATGGCCCCGCCAACAACCGGGGCGCGAGCAGACGCCAAGAGCAGTTGCTGAGAATGTGGCGACCGTGGCGACGCCGACGCGGGACTGCCCAGCACTGCTGCTGCAGAACGAGCTGAATGGCGTGGAAGAGGCAACAACCCGTTTGATGAACTGTTTGAAATGCGCCGCGCTCTGGTGCGCCTCCTGAGTGCTGGCGGGCGCGCTACCGAGTAACTGGTGCAAGTGCTGAAGTCCCCCGCGCGCCGTGCGCCCAGGCCGACGTAGCAAGGCCCGAGCATTCCACGCGGCAAAAGAGAAGCCGTGCCCAGAATGCGGCAGCCTGGGCGGTGGCGCAGCAGACGGCCTGTGATGAAGTCATCAAAGGCACCACTTAAAGTCATCGCCAGGGGCTGTGATGGCGTCAGTCCCGGCCTCAAAGGCAGCGCGGCCCCATCCGCGAGCCGCAAGCCCAAATGTTGAATTCGAACCGAGACGGCGCGCGGCCGGCCTGCGGCGCAGTCTGGGTGAGCGGTGTCGAAGTCTCCGAGATCCACCCGTGCTCGCAGTCAAGGAAGAACATGCTGTCGGGGAAGCGGTCGGGCATGGCCATGAGCAAGTGCTCGCCCTGGATCTCACGGCGAATCTGGAACGGCACCTGTCGGGGCCGATGCGGGGCTGCGTCTGGGCACCCGTGGCGTCAGGAACCGGGAAGCGCATCCATCCCCTTCTCCAGCTTGGGCAAACACAGTGCCTGCACGACACGTCGCCCTCAAAGGCGACCGCGCCATTGAAGCGACTCGCGAGGATCTGGGCGTGGTCGTCGCCGTCGAGCTCCTGGTTCCCAGTGAGGCTGGCACCGCGAACCTCGTGGTTAAAAGAACTCAATTCCTCTTCCGTCTTGCAGTTGAGCGGGGGAGTGACCTTGATAGTGGTGCCGACGCGAGCACGTGTGAAGGAGTTCTCGGATGCTCTGGGAGGTAGCTTTTTCCCAACCCTCCTGCGTTGGGCACTCGTTTTGAATAGGGCACTGCGGTCTCCACCTTCCTTCCTTCCCGCCTCCTCCTCCTCTCTTCCCTCTTCCTCTCCTCTCTTGCTTCCCTTCTCCGCCTCTCTTCGCTCCTCCTCTTCTCTCTTGCATCCCTTCTCCTCTCTTCGCCCCTCCTCTCTTGCTTCCCTTCTCCTCCTCTCTTCGCTCCTCCTCTTCTCTCTTGCCTTTTACGTCATCCCTTTGGGGCTGCGATCTGTGAAACTGTCGCCACTTTCGAGGGCTGCTGGTGGGTCCAGCGGAGTGAGGCACCACGCAGATTCAGATTAGACCTCGCCATCCCTGGGGGGCTGCGATCTGCGAAACTGTCACCACTTTCGAGGGCTGCTGGTGGGTCCAGCGGAGTGAGGCACCACCATCCCTGGGGGTTTGCGATCTGCGAAATTGTCGTCACTTTCGAGGGCTGCTGGTGGGTCCAGCGGAGTGAGGCACCACGCAGATTCAGATTAGACCTCGCCGTCCCTGGGGGGCTGCGATCTGCGAAACTGTCGTCACTTTCGAGGGCTGCTGGTGGGTCCAGCGGAGTGAGGCACCACGCAGATTCAGATTAGACCTCGCCATCCCTGGGGGGCTGCGATCTGCGACACTGACGCCACATTCGAGGGCTGCTGGTGGGTCCAGCGGAGTGAGGCACCACGCAGATTCAGATTAGACCTCGCCATCCTTGGGGGGCTGCGATCTGCGAAACTGTCGCCACATTCGAGGGCTGAGGGTGGGTCCAGCGGAGTGAGGAACCACGCAGATTCAGATTAGACCTCGCCACCCCTGGGGGGCTGCGATCTGCGACACTGACGCCACATTCGAGGGCTGCCGGTTGCGAAACTGTCGCCACATTCGAGGGCTGCTGGTGGGTCCAGCGGGGTGAGGCACCACGCAGATTCAGATTAGACCTCGCCATCCGTGGGGGGGCTGCGATCTGCGACACTGACGCCACATTCGAGGGCTGCTGGTGGGTCCAGCGGAGTGAGGCACCACGCAGATTCAGATTAGACCTCGCCATCCCTGGGGGTCTGCGATCTGCGAAACGGTCACCACTTCCGAGGGCTGCTGGTGGGTCCAGCGGAGTGAGGCACCACGCAGATTCAGATTAGACCTCACCATCCCTGGGGGGGGGGGCTGCCATCTGTGAAGCTGTCACCACTTTCGAAGGCTGCTGGTCAGTCCCGCGGAGTGAGGCACCACCCAGATTCAGATTTGACCTCGCCGTCCCTGGGGGGTTGCCATTCTGGGAAACTGTCACCAATGACGCGGGTCGTTTCAGAGGTGAGGTTGCCCCTCGGGCTCTCTTGTCACTCAGTTCTTTTGACCACGAGCATGATGAATGATCACTGTGGCGATTTGGCTTGGAAGTGAGGTTGCCCATCATGCCCGCTAATCATTCCCGATTCTTACACCATCGCCAGGTTGTGAAATTAATTTCTTGGGTCGCCATTTTGAAACGCGCGAGTATCGCAAAGCGGAAGACGAGGAAGGGGAAAACGATGGGGTGGAGGTGGAGAAGGAAGGGGGGGGGGAAGTCCGGCCCGTGCTGCAGCGGCGGCGGCAATCACCGAGACGTGCTAGCCCTGTCGTGAGGTTGCCCGTCGGGCCCTCGAATCACTCCCGATTCCTGACCACGAGCAGTGCTCACGCGGCGCGAGTGACGCATGATCCGCGACGCGGATCGGTTCACATGCTGCGGCTTCAGAAGGGCAAGGTCCCTCAGAAGATCGCGGAGACCTGGAAACGCATTCAGATGAAGCCCAACGACCCCCGACTGGGCGAGGAGCGGTTCCAGACTGGACACATGATCGCCTGGTTCTGGGACACCGTGGCTCGGTGGATGATGATGCGGGCGAGGAGGGGCGCCGCGTCCCTCGGGCGGGTGCTCTACCTCGCCCAGGCAGCCGACAAGTCCTCGCCCTCGCTGCCCGCGGACCTGGCCGCGAAGCTGGTCAACCGCGTCAACCCGGGCGACGCGGGCGGCATTCACGGGATGCTGCCGCTGCACGTGGGCATGCGCATACGCCTGCTGGAGCACCTGGACCTCGACAAGGGGCTCGTCAAGGACGCCGAGGGCGAGGTCGTGCACGCGGCCATCAACCCGAAGGATGAGGACGTGGTGGAGAGAGCGAAGGCCGAGGGAGGTCGGGCGTACCTGCGGTACCTGCCGTACGGCGTGTGGGTGCGCATGGACAAGTGCAACGGTGGTCCCTGCGGAAAGAAGCTCAAGGAGCTCGATGACAGCATCGACGCTGCGAACGCAGCGGGCCTCGTCTTCATCGAGCCACAGAGCTCGAGCCCGTTCGACTTCCGCAAGTACAAGGTCACGCGCACTGGCTTCGTCATCTCCCACGCCGAGGTCCTGACGTCCACTGCCTGCCAGGGCCGCACCATGCACCGCGGAGTTATTGTTGACGCAGGGTGCAAGGATGCGAACGACCTGGACGCTCTGTGGCTGCACCTCCACGTGATGCTGTCCAGGGCGACGACGATAGACAACCTACTGATGGTGCGCGACCCCGGCCTTGACTTTCTTGCCCGCGGCCCACCGGCAGACCTTGCGGAGAAACTGCGGAAGTTCAGTTCCCGCACTGCAGCATGCAGGAAGGAGGCAGAGAAGCTGGCGCGCGAGCTAGGTCTCGATCGCTTCCTGCACTAGATCTAAACAGGTATGATCCTGTGGACAGGCAGCAGGCATGCGTTGACCGAGCTCCTGCAAAAACGAAACAGTCTCTTGTTTCCTCCCTCCTCTTTCATCATCGCCGCCCTAGTCCTCCTGTTACCTTATGCATTCATGGTGCTGCTGCTGCGATGGCTCCTCGCCCCTTCCTACTGGGTTCGTCCTTCTCCTGTCCCTCGTTCCCGCCCCCGCTATTGTTTAACAAGCCTTGAGACATACTCCTCGTCTTATCGATTGCTTTTCTGTGAGTCGTGCAACATTACGCATCCCATGTAGGTCGCACTACAAATCGCCGCGCCTGCACTGTCACGGTTCCTGCTAATGTTTCCCTACTCCGCTTGCCACTTGATGCCATTGGGTTGGGTACGTCGCAGGGTATTTTTCCGCCCGGGCCATCTCATGACGAATCTATTGGATATGATTGGCCAACTCCGCCAGGCGCTTGTCGTGGTCGTCGATGGAGGACCCGTCCAACGCGATCCTGTCCATGACAGCGTCAATCTGGGACTGCATGCGCTTCTCCATGGCGTCGCAGTCGGGCTTGATGGTGGCTGTGGCGGAAACGACAGTTTGGTCGGGGGCTCGCTTGGCCGCGAAGAATCGCAGCACCAGCGGCGGCTGCGATGCTTTCCTGTGCCTCGTCGAGGTAGCCCGTGAACTGCTGCAGCACCACGTGGTCGCAGAGGGCGCGGATGTGAGCGTCCAGCTGTTCCTCGTGCCTGTCGTCGTCTTCAAGCCATACATTCACCAGGTAGATCGTCAGTACTCCAAATACCTCAATAGTTTTGGGCGGCCCCACCCCCCCGGACTACAAGGACCCCAACGGACTACAAAAGGCCCCCCCCGACTACAGGGACCCAACCCAGGACTACAAGGACCCCCCTCCCAGACCAAAGTCACCCCCGCCCAACACAGGAGGTGCTGAGGGTTGCCAGTGATGGATGTCGGGTTCGTTATCTCGGAGATGGGCTCCTCGTACGCGCGTGCATTGCAGCAGCGGAATCGCCGCGTTGCTTGCCGACGGGATTGCGCTCTTGTGCAAAGCGCATTGTCTGCGTTGTCCCCCCCGGACTACAGGAACCCCCGCTGGACTTCACTTCAAGGGCCCCCCCCCTGGACTACAAGCGCACCCCCGGGACTACAAGGCCCCCCCGGAACCGCACCCCCCAGACTACGGGCCCCCATTTGGACTGTTGGCCACCCCGGACGGGCGGCTTTGGGATCAGGTATGCGCCTGGTATCCTTGTCGAGTTTCTCGATCTTCTCGGGCATGATGGGACCTCGGAAAGATAGATGGACAGGAAACCAATTTCCATTGAGGCGACGACCGCCGACATTTAGCCACCAGCGATGAATCTGGAGGCTGGGGGCAATCTCGACCAACACATACGAATGTCGGCATGCAGCGCCTTGTAAGTGAGCAGCGGACCAGCAGTATCCATGCGAAGGGCAGGTCGTAAAAACATTTGAGGCAACACGGCTACGAAGGAGGAGCGCGGAGGAGGAGGAGGAGGAGGAGGAGGAGGAGCGGAGAGGAGGAGGAGAGGGAGGAGGAGGATGAAGCAAGAGGACTCACCTGCGGATCTGAGATAAAGGCGAGCCCATCCTGAGGCCGTTGTATGTCCCACTCCCCCTTCCCGCCATCCCCGCTGCTTGCCCCTTTGTTCCGACTGGAGGGCGCTGGCTGCGATCTCCCCACGGTCGGGAGCTGTCGCTTGGCGCAGCGCGGCGGCGGCCCCAGCGACACACGATGCTCAGCGAGCGGATAGCGCGTCGTTCCGCTCCGCGCGGCGCGAGGCCGGGGACGGCTCGGACCATGGATGCCTGGGAATTGGGGAAGTGGCTGGCGTGCCGCGCCGCAGCGTGGTGGTGCACCAGAACCGGCGGAGTGACGCGCTGAGCCCAACTCCACGACCGCGGCCGATGCATTGCATGGGGCCCCCACAGAGATGGTGAGGATCTGGCGAAGGTCGGCCGCAGTTTTTGGCAGGGTAGGCGGCCGGGCTCGTGGGCTCCAGGCTCCCGGGCTCCTGGCTCGGGGTTTCTCGCCGCAGTTGTAAGGATCTGGCGAGACGTGACCACCGACTTCGGTAGGCGGCGGCTTCCTGCGTTCCTGGATTCTGGGCTCCAGTTTGAGGCCGAGAGAGAGGTGGACGAAACATGGCAGAACGTAGGTCGTATAGATCGTAGAGGGTAAAGGGCTCACAGTAAAGAGAAGAGGTCAGAATGCAACGGGTATTGACCAGAGCGTGCAACATTTGCTGTCACCTGCTCGTAGCCACCAGCTTCGCAGGAGGGGAGGTGCTCATGGAGGGCCTCCTCCGTCTCATCCTCCCCTCGTCCTTCTCCGCCCCCTTCCTGCTCATCCTCCTCTCCTCTCTACATCTCCTTCCCCATGCTCCATGCTCCTCTTCCTCCTCGTCCTCCCTCCTCCATCCTCCCTCCCCTGCCCCTGCTTTTGCCTCCCCCGTCCTCCCCCTTCCTGGCTTCCCATCCCTCCTCCATCCTCCCCTGTTCCCCCCCTCCACCTTCTCTACCCCTTCCTCCCCCGCCCCCTCTCTCGAGGACAGGACCACGGCGGCAACCGCGACGACGACCACGACGTGCCCTTCTCTCCCTGCTTCTTCTTCTCCTCCTTCCTCTCCTCCTCCTCTCCTCCTCCTCCGCCTCCTCCTCCTCCTTTCCTCCTTCCTCTCCCCCTTCTCCCTTTGTACTGTTTGATGTTCTCTCTTTGCATCTTGTATTTTTCCCTCGACGACGACGACCACGACGCCGCACGGTGGCGGCGGCGGGCTGCGCGGAGGGCCGCCTCCGGCCGCCCCGGCGCCGCGGCCGCGTGCAGCTCGGGCGCCGCGTAGAACCTGGGCGGGCCAGCGCCGCGGCCAGCCGCAGCAGGCAGCCGCGCGCCGTCCGCCGCAGCCGCCGCCGTGGCCGTCGTCGCCTTGGCCGTCGTCGAGGCCGTCGTCGCCTTGGCCGTCGTCGTGGCCGTCGTCGTCGTCGTCGTCGTCGTCGTCGTCGTCGTCGTCGTCGTCGTCGTCGTCGTCGTCGTCGTCGTCGTCTCCTCCGTCCTGCTCGTCCTGCTCGTTGGTCTCCTCCGGCTCCTCCTCATTGTCCCTCTCCCTCCACGTCCTCCCCCTCCAGTCCTGAGGATGCGCCGGAGGCAAATTGGAAGGAATCAAGAAGAGGAGGGAGAGGGAACATAATGAGGGAGTGGAGGAGAAGAGGACTGCAGGAGGATGCTGAAGATGATGAGGGTCGCTGCTGGCATCAACAACGACGGGCTCCTTGACGTCACCCGCATGCGCCCCAACAGCTTCGCCGACTTCGCTTGGAACAGCAACTGTATCGGCTGGGGTACCTCCTCCATTTCGGCTCCCCTCGCCAATCAGCGAAGCGATTGGCAGAGCTCCATGGTCTGCTGGGACGGCAAGCTCCATCAAGCCTGAATTGCCCTCTTCAGACCTGGACTGGTCGATCAGATCCTCCTGGGGGTACGCAGAAATGCCCAGCAGTGCCATGGGCACGGCCAGCAGGGCCGAAAACAGGCCGGACCAGGCCGTGGCGATCGTCTCGCTGGTGTAGCAGAGGCCTCCCACTCGGACGTCGCTGTGCACGAGCGCGCACGCAATTCGAAACGATGCCATATTCGCTATGAACGTGCCCTTCACCACCCAGAATTTGGCGTGCGTCCTCCGCTCTTCCAGTGCTCCGTGCGTGGCCTCCAGCAGCGCGAAGATGCCATACATCGCCATCATCAGCGAGAGCGTGTCCAGCTTCAGCAGCACGTTGTCAACTCGGTCTGGCAGCAGCTCAGCAATCTCCTCCATGGCGACCAGGGGAACGAATACGATAAATTGCCACATCAGGCCACGGATGACGAGGAGGTCCTGCCGCCGCGGGTGCCGCGGAGCGGCGCAAGACTTGAAGCAGCACGCCAGAGGCGGCACGGACCACATCTTGGTGCCGGGCAGCGCCGCGAGCTCCTGCACGGCCTCGTCGGCGGACGGCGCCACCATGCCGAGCAGCAGCTGCACAAATGTCCAGAAGGCGTACACTTCGTAGCCCGCCGCCAAGAGGAACAGGAACTTCCAGACTCGGGGAGCGACCATGGCTTGGCGGACGAAGTTCCATCTACCGAGAGCGTCTCTGCCGTCGGGGACGTCTGTCCCAGGGCGGCTGGAAAGCTTATGACCCTACGGTGGCACAAAATGCTGTCAACTTTCCAGCCGACCCGGGGCAAGCGTCCAGGACGGTGGAAACGTTTCTTCTATCCGAGAAGCGGGGCCGAACGGTCATTCATAGTCCCTGGGTGCGTGGCGGCAATGTGATTCCGCTGCGCGGATTAGTGCAGCTGTTACTTTGCTTTGTCTTATCGAATGCTACTTTCTAAAAACAAGATTGTTGGTCTCCTCCTCTGGTGCCCATTGTGTTTCTCAATTGAAATGCCCTTCCTGAGGCTCGCGCCTTGTTTTGAAGACGGACGTCTTCAGGCTCAGACTGTGCTGATGGCCCCCGAACTGCAACTTTGAAGTCGCGCTCTCGCGTGGGACTTCCTCACAATTTATTCAGACGCTGCGCCCTCGACACTCAGGAATCACGCTCTGCTTCTGGACGCCCTCACGATTTTCTCGGGGGTCGCGCTGTCGCTCGCGACCTCCCCGCGATTCATGCAGGACTGACGCTGCAGCGACCCGCCCGCTCGACCTGGCCGTCGGGGCCCGCCCGTCCGACCCGCCCGTCTGGGCCCGCTCGCTAGACCCGCCCGCAGGGTTCTGCCGCTGTCTGTCCTGCTCCTGAGGCCCCCGTCCTGCTGATCTCTCTCGTGCTCCATCCTTCTCCCTCCCCCCTGCCCCTTTCCTCCCTCCCTCCCCCCAAGAGGGTTCAATCAAAAACGAAGAAGGCCATGTTGAGCGGCACGCGAGCATATGAGAGCGAGCAATATGAACATAAACTGATTGAATCCTCGCTTCTGGAGATAGCTGATGATTGATTCCACCCTTCCGGTGCCCATCGTGTTTTTCAATTGAAATGCCCGTCTAGGGGCTCGCACCCTGTTCTGCTAACAAGGGAAGCCTTGGGCCTCTTATTGGAAACAGCAACCAACAACGACAACACAAACAATCATTCTAAGACTGTTCCCTCCTATATGCTCACGTGCCAATCAATACGTATATACGTAGCCCTCGGAACCCGCCCTCGTCGTCTTCGATCGTGCCGCTTTGGAGGTATATCTTAGTTTCCTGCCACGAGAGAAATTGGGAGGAGGGGGCAAGGAGCAGAAACCAAGTGGTATAACCAGACGAGCAGATCGGGTGGGCAGACCCGTAGCGAGCAGGTCGAGAAAACGGGCCCAGGCGACCAGGTCGAGTAGGCGGGTTGCTGAAGCGTGGGTTCTGCATGAATCGATAGGAAGTCTCGAGCGATAGCGCGATTCCCAAAACAATCGCGAGAAAAGCCAAAAGCGAGAGCGTCATTCCTGAGCGCCGATTGCGCATCGTCTGAATACATTGCGAGGAAGTCCCACGCGAGAGCGCGATGCGTACATGAATTATGAGGAAGACCCGCGCGAGGGCACGATTTGGGAATACACTGTGAGGAAGTATCCAGCGGGAGCCGCTGTTGCTGTAAACTGGGAGTCAACAACACAGTTTGAGCCACTTGACTTTCCATGCGAAAAATCCGGGTGCGAGCCCGGGGGAAAGCACTTCAAATTATAGCCGGAGTGCAGTATCCCCAAACAGGGATTTTAGACCCACTGCGGTTTCAAAGGTCGATTGCGTGCCCGTGGCATGTTAAAACATGCCTCCTCCTCCTCCTCCTCCTCCTCCTCCTCCTCCACCTCAACTTCATCCCGAAACGGAGCCCAGAGTTGCGAGGACGTCTCCAGCGTAACGGGCTGGACCACCTCGCGCGCGGCATTTCGGACCCCAGAGTTGCGACGATGTCTCGGGCGAAACGTGCTGCGAGGAAGTCTCAGGCGAAACGGGCCGGACCACCTCGAGCGCGGCATCTCAGAGCTCCGAGTTGCGGGGGCCTCCTGGGGCCTCCTGGGGCCTCCTGGGGACCTCCTGGGGCTTCCTCCTGGGCCTCCTGTGGCCTCCTGAACTCCACCTGGGGTTTCCTGAAGCCTCTTGGGGCTCCCAGGGGGGATATCTAACCTGTGGCCGCTTGGGCCCCTCAAAATACAGGGGGGGCCACAAGAGCAGGAAAAATCAACGAATCGACACCGGATGTGAATTAACTTGACACGTTCTGATAGGGGGCCTCCTGGGGCCTCCTGGGAGCCTCCTGGGAATCTCCTGCGGACCCCTTGGGGCCTGTCCTGGGCGTCCTGCGGCCTCCTGAAGCTCTCTGGGGTCTCCCCCTCCTCCTGCCTGCTCCCTCATGCACATCATCCGCCTCCTCCTTCTCCCTTCCATCTCCTCCTCCTCCTCCTCCTCCTCCTCCTCCTCCTCCTCCTCCTCCTCCTCCACCTCCTCTTCATCCCGAACGGCATCTCGGAGCCTAGAGTTGCGAGGATGTCTCCAGCGTAACGGGCTGGACCACCTCGCGCGCGGCATTTCGGACCCCAGAGTTGCGACGATGTCTCGGGCGAAACGTGCTGCGAGGAAGTCTCAGGCGAAACGGGCCGGACCACCTCGAGCGCGGCGTCTCAGAGCTCCGAGTTGCGGGGGCCTCCTGGTGCCTCCTGGGGCCTCCTGGGGACCTCCTGGAGCTTCCTCCTGGGCCTCCTGTGGCCTCGTGAACTCCACCTGAGGTTTCCTGAAGCCTCTTGGGGCTCCCAGGGGGGATATCTAACCTGTGGCCGTTTGGGCCTCTCCAAATGGAGGGGGGGCCACAAGAGCAGGAAAAATCAACGAATCGACACCGGATGTGTATTAACTTGACACGTTCTGATAGGCGGCCTCCTGGGGCCTCCTGGGAGCCTCCTGGGAATCTCCTGGAGACCCCTGGGGCCTGTCCTGGGCGTCCTGCGGCCTCCTGGTGCCTCCTGGGGCCTCCTGGGGACCTCCTGGAGCTTCCTCATGGGCCTCCTGTGGCCTCCTGAACTCCACCTGAGGTTTCCTGAAGCATCTTGGGGCTGCCAGGGGGGATATCTAACCTATGGCCGCTTGGGCCCCTCAAAATGGAGGGGGGGGCACAAGAGCAGGACAAATCAACGAATCGACACCGGATGCGTATTGACTTGACACGTTCTGATAGGGGGCCTCCTTGGGCCTCCTGGGAGCCTCCTGGGAATCTCCTGGGGGCCCCTGGGGCCTGTCCTGGGCGTCCTGCGGCCTGGACCTCTCTGGGGCCTCCTGGAGCTCGCAGGGTCCCATGGAGGATATGTAACATGTGGTCTTCTGGGCCCCCAGGCTGGACCACCTCTTGCGCAGCATCTGAGAGCTCAGAGTTGCGAGAATGTCTTGTGCGAAACAGGCCGGACCACCTTGCGCACGGCATCTCAGAGCTCAGAGTTGCAAGGATGTCTCAGGCGAGACGGGCCGCAGGGCATCTCAGAGCTCAGAAGTTCGAAGATGTCTCAGCGAAACGGGCCGGACCACCTCTCGCGCGGCATCTCCGAAGTCAGAGTTTCGAGGATGTCTCAGGCGAAACGGGCCGGACCACCTCGCGCAAGGCATCGCAGAGCTCAGAGTTTCGAAGATGTCTCAGGCGAAACGGCCCGGACCACCTCTCGCACGGCACCTCGGGGCTTAGAGTTTCGAGGATGTCTCAGGCGAAACGGCCCGGACCACCTCTCGCGCGGCGTCCCGGAGCGCAACTTTTCGAGGATGTCGCAGGCGAATCGGCCAATCCCGGCCAACTCAGAAACGAGAGTTGTGAGGATGTCTCAAGCGAAACGGCCAAAACCATAAAA